ACCACCCCATGTCCCCTATGATTCATTACCCCTGCACCCTGTGTTATTTCCTTCATATGCTTGACATTATCTAAAATTATCTTACTTATTTAGTTGTTCACTTGTTCATTTTTGCCTTCCCTCCTAGATTATAAGCCTCATGACTGAAGAGATGGTGTCTATCTTGTTCACTGCTCCATTCCCATGTCTAGAAAAACTTTTGGCACAGAATAGGCCCGTGATAAATATTGTTTTTCATAAAGAGATGACTTTTTAAAAATAGCAACATGGTCTTGGACTTTTAGAAATCTGCCAAAGTTTATGACTCTGAAAACATATAATTATCTTGTCTAAAATTTTAAAAAGCAAAACAGAATTTTAGATTTAAGTAAAAGCTTATTCTAGCATGTCTGACTCAGAAATAACCAAATGTACTTAATCCTATTAATTATCCTCTATCACAGGTAGATATTTTTGCTTACCACATATACTCTTTAAGCTGGTTATAGTAACATAATAAGGGATTAGAGCCTTGAAACAAGTTGCCAAGTGTCATGTTTTTATATACAACAAGCCCGCGGGGGTTTGGAAGGGAGCCCAATAGGCTCACAGTTCCAAGCTTCCAGATCCATTTACATGTGGAAGCGCTAAGGAAAGGCCATTCTTCAGGCTATTCCTATGGACAACAGGGATTCTTTTTCCAAACTCTTCAATTACAACCCAGTGAAAATAAAATGTATAGAAAAATGTTCAAAGTAATTAGTACAGCCTCTTTAAGGGGCAGATGTTTTCAGAGCCACAGGAGGAAAGTATACATTTCTGGTCAGTTCTATTTCTAGATGGTTTATTCAGTAATTTGGATATTTTATAGAGTTATTCCAGTATTTTCATTAGTGAATTCTTCAAGTTGGAAGGAAATAAAAAAATAGTTTTAGACCACCACCTTTCCTAGCACTGCTACAGAGGCCAGTAGCAGAGCCAGTAAAAAGGCTCAGTGCCTGGGGCTCCCAGAGACATTGTCATGTTGCATTATGGACAGCCCAGGACAGGAGAGGAGAGCCTGCAGGTGCGGGGACAGGTCGGGGTACATATAGAACTCAAGGTGCTAGGCAGCAGCAAGGAACACTCAGAAAGCAGGAAACACTCTTCCCTTGACTCCTACCATTTGCTCTGCTTCTCACCTTCTCAAAGTGTCATCTGAAAAGTCCTGGTGATCCTTTCAGGGACCTGTGAGATCAAAACTACTTTCATAATAATGTTTTAAAAAGTGGTTTGCCTTTTCCACTACGTGGGCGTTTACATTGATGGTTGCAAAAGTAATACTGGGTCAAACTGCCAGCACCTTAGTACAGGTCAACTAGTGAAATCGAACTACACCCAATAGCCATCACATTCTTATTCACCACAAGGAAGCAAGGAAGGAAG